AAATAGTAATTAAAATTTATATCATTTAATAGAACTAGCAACAAATTTCAAAAATACGATAGATGATAATGATGATTTTTTGACAATATCATACTTTTTTTTTTAAAGAATCTTCTATTAACACAAGGGAAACTTGTTCTCCAAATCAATGTTCAAATGGTGCCACTTGCGTAGCTGTAGTTTATAATTTAGCTAGCCATTGTATATGTGCACCTGGATTTACCGGAAATCTCTGTGAGATTCGTATGTAATATTAATTTTCAAATATAGATTATGATCAAACATGTATTTCTTTCTAAAACTATTTTAGCCGATTCCACAACACCTGTGACTAATACTCAATGTCCAGTCAATCCTTGTTTTAATGGAGCAACGTGTTCCATTATATCTGGCGGCGGTTTCAAATGCACATGTGCCATAGGTTTTACAGGTCCATTTTGTGAATCACGAGGTAATTCTTCTCAAGATTAAAGCAGAATCATCTTTTTTTACCACCATATTCTTTTCTATTCACTATTTAAAGTTGGCGCAATGAACTGAGGTTGAAGAAAGACTAATCGTTATTTGAATGCTAATGTAAGCATAAGAGTTATCAACAGGTCATCTTATTCGATCTGACTCGCAGAATGTAGACAAAACAGATAATTTGCTATACTGTGGATACCCGTTTCATAATGTATTTGAGACGTTTTCTCTTATCAATTCCATCGTTATTATACGATTACGTATTTCTCATCACTAAATATGATGAAACTACGATCTTGTCCATCAAGTACAGGAATCACGAATTGTATTAATGTTAAAAAAAAGACCTCTATACATAGAATGAATTCTAATATCATCACAGTGTTGGTTCATCAAAGTGAACCATTTATATTAGTAGTTACATGAGTTCAATTTGAAAATAGAAAAAACTTCTTATTGTTTATCTTCTTTGTCTGAACGGTATCCATTGGAATACATATTCATTTAGTGTCAATGCAGTTTCTTTGTTTATTGAAGCATATTTTAATTGAATCATAGACGAACATGAGAATCTGAAAATAAAACAAGTTGATTTACCTTTCATACAAAATAACTATAATCTTTGCTATTTATATAATGGTCTTGGAGTTCGTTATCACTTCCAATCTATATATAGTTAATGCTATCTGTAATTCTATGTATCAAATGATTGAAGAATTTAATCAAAACATATCTAACGTACATTGTCACATTTAAAACCTTTTTTTTTAATATTTAAGAGCATTCAATACAAAATGCATGTCAATCACGACTTTGGTAAGAACTACGGATTGAAATATCATGAAATTAGATCTTTTCTTTTTAATAGTCAACATGGTGGTATTTGCTATCTTACATCAACTGACTTTGCATGTATCTGTCCGACTGGTTATAGTGGAACACGTTGTGATATAAATTTAGCTGCAACTAATCCATGTTTTCATAGTCCATGTCAAAATAGTGGAACATGTCTCGTATTAGATCCTTTTACTTATCGATGTATATGTTCAAATGGATTTTTTGGTGTTCGATGTGAACAACGTATATGTCATCCAAATCCATGTCAATCTGGTGGTAGATGTTTACCACATGGTAATACTTTTCAATGTCAATGTCCATCGCAATATAGTGGACGTTATTGTGAACTTCTGACGAAAACAGCATCACTATTAGCATAAGAAGATGTGCCATTTTTTCCTCAAATAGTTACTGTTCCTTTCTTTTTTTTTCAACTATGACGTCATTTATAGTAAATATGTTTGACTGATATTGCATTGTGATCTATTGCATGGTTCTTTTTCCGTTCTCGTTAATTTTACTTCTTCTTCTCTCTTTTTTGGTCTCCAAAGAGGTAAAACATGATCTGGTGACACCTTACCGATGTTTTGCTGTGTAATTATATCTAACATTTAAGACTCACTTTTATGCAGTATATCTGCATATCTACGTTAAGAAAGATTTCATCGATATCATCTCGTCCGATCATTTACTTCAATTCTTCAATCACAATTTTGTTTTTCTCATGGAACATTACTTACTATCTGTTGACTTTTCCTTATGAGCTATATATCACCAAGTCAAATGGAATGGTAGGTTATCATTTTCCACAAATTGTGGTATACTGAATCGATTCCTAAATCAGATCCCCATTTGTAGACTTTGAAACATCGAATATCGACTGTGGTAACCTGAAGTAAGGACTTCAATTTAGGGACTGGGGACTTTAATTAGGAACTTTTTGAATAGAAGACATTTCTGGTGACCAGATCATACCGTAGAAACAGTATTAACAGTAGTTTAATGAGATTTGTGTCGCAAAACTGGATAGAAAAAGCGATTAAGTTGACAGTACTCTACATTACGACATAGTATTTTTCTCACATTCCATATTTAAAAAGTCCTAAATTAAAGTTCTCAGTCTCTAAATTGAAGTGCTTACTTCAGGTTACCACGAGTCGATATTCGATGTTTCAAAGTTCACAAATGTGGATCTGATTTAGGAATCAATTTGGGACACCACAATTTGTGGGAAATGATAGTCATTCGCCATCTAGTACAGTTCATGTACCTGACTTTTAAATATATATTGTTAGAGAACTAGCAACTATTTGTAATAATTCTGAAGACTGCATATATTAGAGAATTTGATTTTGTGGCAAATTCAAATTTTGTAAAAATACGAACAATTTGCCACAAAATACGACAACCATCCCTACAGCGGTATAACGATAGTTCATCATCAGGGTGTGGATGTGGGTGGGTGTGGGTTAAAAGAAGAACGACACCCACACCCTAAAATCTATGTGATAGTCATCAATTAGAGCTTCTGATAATTTCTTCTGGTATGTTTCTTCAATGATAGCCGTTTCAACATCCGAGTAGGAACTCCATTCTTCCTTTTGTGAAGAATTCCATGGATCTGCATTTGATTTCCACATCCATTCAGTGCAAGTCGAAGGCGAAGCGCATGTTGCAGTAACTATTAGAAACTTGTGTATGTTTCTGTAATTGTTATGTAAGTGTGCAAAAAAAGAATTTCATTATTTCTATTCACTCGTTGTTTGAATCCATCGTGACTAATGAATGCAATGAAGAAAAAAAGATGAAGAAAAAAACGAACGTTGCATTAGCAACCATTAACCAACTTGAGTAACTACGTCGCTTCGTTTACCGAAAGGAGAATAATTCACTGATTCGCTTACATGAAAACAGAAAAACATGCTTTTTTTACCTCACCAAACAAGTAGTATGAAACCTGAATTCAATTATCGAATGCAGAAACTTTCAAATATTTATGCAGCTTATTCAAGAAGTTAAATGCTGTATTTCAGTAGCAAGTCTTCTTATAAAGTGCTGATAGATGCCAAAAAATAAAAGAAAACTAAAATATTCAGATATAATAGGACTTATGTTCACTATTTTGTCACTTGACACTTTTAAATTATGGTTTACTGAAGAGATCAACTCTTTTTAAAAAGATTCTTACGTGATGACAAACGCATGTTTCATTCATGACAAAATGCATAGCAAAAATTTAGGAAGAAACAAACGATTTCTATTCGTTTATTCACAATAGGTATATTATCTTCTTCATTTTGAACGTATGTAGAGAGATGATAAGAAATAAATGCCAGAAATGGAACAGTTAAAATCAATTATATAGTTACAAGATCACATTGTGCAAAAGAGAAAACAAAGAATAATCTATCGAACCATGCGAATTATATTTTCTATCGATAGAAAAATGCATTCAGGCAATGCCAAATAAGATTTTTCCAATGTTTTAATAGCAATACTTGATATGTCATTCGTAAAAAAGCCTTATGATATACATTTGAACTATTGATAGTTGCCTATCTAATTCAAGTTTTGGTAATGATAAGAACAGCATTGTCATCTAGGCAATGATTTTCCTTCAAGGTTTTCGCTTCAGTTGTTCAAAGAACAATTAGTTGTGTCATGTTGACTTTCGTTAAACTAGCCTTTCTATTTAGTGAAATATAAAATGTTCGAGTTTATTTCTGCGAGCGGCAACAAAGAGTAAAACATCGACAACAGCATCCGATAGCTAACAAAACATAAATTACAATTAAATAAATAAATGTAAATCTATATAAGACAGGCTGACAATAGTTATATGTGTAAAAATTATTGACACTATCGTATTCGTGTGTAACGTGTTTCTTTACGCTAAAGGTCCAGACGCCTCCAATAATAAGCCAAACCCATACAAAAATTACATGAGTATAGGTGAATATACTTGAATTGAAGTTGAGAGTAACAGCAAGTGATGAATCGCGACGAATGAAAAGTAAAACAATCACACCAAAAAGAATATTACCAATTAAACATCCAATTGAAACACTTCCATGAACAATAAGAAAAAGACTAATACGAGGTTCAATGGGACAATAACGCGGATCACGATAATGAAGACCAATAACGAGCGCAATTATTGGTAGTGAAAGCAACAGTAATAAAATGACAATGCCAATAACCGATACGATTGCAAAACCACCCACAATAAGGCCCACATTTGATGATGATCGCTTCAAATTTGATTTATTATAATTAGGTATACTGACCAATAACGGGTCTTGATTAGTTCCTTGTTGCGTCTTATGCATTTTATTTGATCTAAAACTCTAGCTTTACGTTTAAGACACAAAACAACGTTTTTTGTCAATCAAAGAGCGCAAAAAAAGCGAAAAATGACTGATTTGTGCAGAAAGATTTAACAACACAGAAGGTGTATGATCAAAAAAATGTGTTGCATTCAAATAAATGAAAGGAGAAAAAAAAATTTTTGGTTATGCGTTGCAGTAAGAGAACACTTCATTCTGGCTGAATGACAGTTTTTTTATTGCAAAAATTTTACCTTGTTAAAATGGAAGATCCACGATGAATAGATTGAAAAAACAGGCACCTATTTAATGAATAATAACAAACATTTTCAAAGGTAAAAGCATATGCAATTAAAATACCGTTCAAGTTAATTTATGAAGACGAAAATTAGTGATGTCTTCAAAAAAAATATGAAGAATATTAGACATCGAGAAAATGAAGAGGAATAGCATCAAGAACATTATGTTTTATTGTAAAAAAAGTTCGATAAATTTTAAATGATATGATGCCTTTGGACCGACAAATATCACTGGATGACGGAAATGAATTACAAAGTAATTCAAAAAAAAATGAATTACAAAATAGTTCAAATTCTATTAATATCTTTCAACTAACTGACCAGGTACTACCAGGTGCTACCGTGAGAGTGTGGGGAATCTCTCAATTGAGAGTGAGGGCATATCTTTCGGCCGAAACTGAGGGCGCATCTCTCGACTGAAGGTGAGGGCGAATATACGCAAACACACATGCATACTGGGCGCTGGTAGTACGTGAGTGGGTGTGGGTGTGGATGTAAATTTCTTAACCGACACCCACCCACATCCACACCCACACCCACACCCACACCCACACCCACACCCACACCCACACCCACACACACCCAC